GTGGTTGAAGAAGGAAGAAGGGTGCACCTGACATTATGTCCTGCCCCTTGTGCCCGTCATTTGCAGGTGGATTACATGCTTGCGCTGGGTGCCTCTGCCCAGCATCAGCTTCAGATCACTCAGGCTCAAAACAAAGGACTGAAACTTGACGAGGGGACGATTGACGTGCATCACAATGAGGTAGCGCGGGTAGCAACGGAGACGTACCTGGCGGGGGAGGCTGCAGATCAACTGGATGAGGACTTGGCAGAGCTCGTTCAGCACCACTTTGTGACAAAAGCAAAGCTGGTGAGCAGCATTGCGCCTGGTGAGCGATGTGGTCTTTGTACCTTTGCACTTTGTCTGGACAAGCGCAAACAGCAGAAAATGGGCCTTGCCGGAAGCTAGCTATGAGCTTTGATGATAGATGTGCATCACCATGAGGAAGCGCAGGGAGCAATGGAGATGTACCTGGTGCAACAGGCTGCAGAATTAATGGATGGCAACTTGGCAGAGATCATTCAGGACCACTTTGTGATGAAGGCAAAGCTGGCTAGCAACATTGCGCCTGGTGAACAATGTGGTCTTGCAGCCTTCACAATTTGTCTGGACAAGCGCAACCAGCAGGAAGGGCCTTGGCAGGATCTAGCGCTTTGAGCGTTGATGTCCATGGCTTGGAGCGATGGCCGGCTGGCTGCCAGAACATGACTTCTTCACTACCAGCTCAAAGTACCTCATCAGAATGGAAATCACAACTGCCGCAGTACGCGTTCCTCATGCCATCCAACACAGTCACAGCACATCGTGCACAGCATGTGCTGTGCCCGTATTAGTTTGTTTGTCGGTCTTGATCTGCAATGTACAGGCGTCATCGAAGACTAACACATGAAGGCTCCGAGGCCCATGCGCACCGGCAAAGTGCAGAGCCTTGAGAGTATAGTGAGGTCGGATAGTCATCACCAAGGAGGCCAGAGCGCCCAGCAAGTGGATGAGCATGCAAGCGACCGGCAGGTCAAAAATGCAAAAGAGCCAGGCCAGACTTGAGTCGACACCTGCAAGGCCTGGCTGGTTTTGGCCTGCTTAGCTTGTGCAGAGCTAACAGAGTGCTCTTTGAGAGGCACAAAGATGCATTTGCTTGCAACGCAAAGAACGGCTGGATCTAGTCCTTCTGCAAGACATTTGGTGGAGGATTTGGGCTGGAGTCCACCGTGGGTGTTCTGTCTTTGTTGGTGCGCTCAAAAGCAGTGTGAAAGGCTCAAAGACTGGCTAACTTTCGGAATACAGGCGTGTGATTCTGCTGCGCCAAGCTACAAAGCAAACTTCAAGCCAATTCAGATCGGTCCAGCTCTTGGGCCTGGCTTCTTTCAAAGAGTCTCTAGGCCCTACAACCCGGCCCTCAGAAGGTTCAGCAACAGCTTACCCTTATCTGGAGACACAGTGGACCCCTGTGGAAGCACCACATCCCAACAAGGCCTTCATGGTGGCCTGCTCAGAAGTCTGTGCAATCGCACCTGCGCCTTTGATTGCTAGCAATATGAGAACAAGCTCTGCCTCGACAAAAGGCTCTGAGCACGATAGAGGCGTCTGGCTTGCTTGCTGCTTGGTGGCAGATTGGTGCTTCAACAGCCATTCACATGCCTACGTCACCAGGGACCCACCTGCCCCAATTGATCAGCTAACCAGATCATTGCTAGAGCAGCAAGGCAACTCCGGTGACTTTGTT